CCGTTGACCCTGCGAGTATGCCGTTAGACCATTTCCTCAAAACGAAGCACCATTTGTCGCCCTACCTTGTCGAATATTCTTCGCTGTTTGGGTCCAAAGTTCTCCGCTCCTCATCCGTCATGCCATTGTTGGCGAGTCCCTTCCAATGAGCTCCGACGCTGTACGCCAAAGCAGTCTCGGCTGAGTACGTGAACTATGCATTCCAGTCAGTATCTCATACTAACACCGGTTACAAGCTATTGCGAGACTGACGATGATAAACAGCATGAGGTAGTCATCTGCCTGCAGACGCTTGAAGCCAACAGCGGCAATTCGCGCATAGGTCCTCAAGAAGATGACGGCGATGGCTACGCCAAGAAGCGCGAAAGCTTCTGTCGAGAATTCGGACATTTCGTTGGGATCATGTCAACCGGATACCCCGCGTGGTGCAGGAAAACGACGAGTCTAATAGCGTGGAGTAGAGAAGAAGGGGAAAAGTCGTCTTCAAGAGTAATGCCAGGTGGAGTACTCCGTGAAGTAGGCGAGGTATATAGCAGTGAAACCCAGATAAGACTCTTGGGGAATAGGTCGTCGAGGGGCCCTGCCTTTCAGCTTTGCAGATCGCAGCTGCTACACAATGAACCTAGCAAGGGCAAGTGACCGGGGTCCCGGAATCGGACAGGAGACGTACGTATGTCGATACTTATGTCGCACTCCCCCGTCACCGCGGAGACTTTGACTTGGACACAAGCGGCATGGGCAGCTCGTGGGAGGTGCTGGGAAAGGGTGCGCTTACGTGCATATCCGTTCCCCTCGCTGAAACATAAACCACATGCCCTAGCAAACCCAAAATACTCCGTACGTGCGAATAGCTAGTGGGTGGTTTGGTTACACACGGCTGACGGAACCGGTGATGATGATGAAGGTGATGATTGAGACGAACAAGCGCGAGGAGTTCGGACGATAAGAAGCCCGGGCCAGCGACCTGGAATCCCCGGCCAATTTCATAGTAGGATTTTGCGCCGGTCAATTGTCTGCTGTACGGATACATAATTGTACGGAGTACATAGGTAATCAACCAGCTGTCAGGCAGAGAGGCTGAGACAGCATGTGGACTATTCCATATTACGATAAGTTGCCGAAATGGGCTCGCCACTATGTCCAGGAGAAAGCACTAATGGCGGTTGCAAGTCCCGCTCGCCGCTTGCTTGATGAAGCACCCCCTTCTACGGATACGGATATGGTATCTTGATGGCATTTGATCGAAAGCTAACAGACTTCTGGCCGACATCGATGCGGCTCTCCGAAAGTCCAGACTACCGATATGGTCAAGCGTCGGCCTTTTCCACCAGAATGATGCCCAATACGACCAATCCCAATGCTAATGCACGTAGACAATGTCGGCAGATCATTAGCTCAGCGTGATGGCAAGGCAAACACGACCATCTTGAAAGCACATCCATGTTTATGCTTCAGCGCTGGAGCTATCCTACGTGACCATCGCCTTAAAACTAGGCTTTAACTTGTCTGTGACATCTCGGTTGATTTGCCCCTTTGCCTTTTCCAGGCCTAAATACTGCTCATATTTTCGTGATCTTTTGCTGGATATCTTGACATGAGCCTTGTGTCCCTGAAGAGTGGCCATTTACACCATATCTGATATTACGGAAGTTCCGAACATCAACTAGCAGCCCTGTCGAATTGTTAGTCTGTCGTTGGCTAGAAGTGTTATGGGCCAGGGGCACGGCCTTGACTCGCGAGGGTTACATGGCCGTGGGCCAACGCATGGGGTCAAAAAGCGCGGCGCCGGGGACAGGACACTTGCGAGCCGTGTCAACGACTGTGGATATCTTCAGAATGACGAGTGGTACCTGCGTTGAAGAAGTCTCCAATAGAAGAGCAACAGTCGGACAGAGATGCTTTGGTGGTCGTGCTCGTATCCCGAACCTGGATGACTTGTTGCACTTTACCGTCCCATAGGTTCGAACCATCGGAGGTTGAACTACGAACCGCCGCGACGGTACCCCAACGGGTTCATGGTGGAGAAACATTGTTTCGGCACGAGCATTTGACTTCAGCAAGCTTCATCGTCTTACAGTCAAGCAGCATACTTACTCACCTATGTACTGGTCATGACCGTGAACCTCCCAAACTGACGCAATTCGATCTGCAATAAACAGCCTCCTTGTCAAATTGTCAGTGTTGAGCAAACGGCGAATTAGACGTGACCAGCAGTCCTCCTCCGCCACGAGTCCACCACGAGTCAACGGCCCTGCTGCCATCCCATCTAGCTCAGTGGGTCTTTATCTTTGTGCTAACAGTAACTTGTCATCCGGGGAACGCCTCCGGCTACGTCTAGACGTCAGGGCATCCTTGACTGCGCCTGAGCGCAGTTCCCATCAAGACCCTTCATAGGTACGGGATTCTTCGAGGCTTGAGTCTTGATCACTATTTGTGCCGCTATTTTTCAGCTAGCAGGATGCTCATACTCGGACAATGCTGCTCCGCTGCAAGTCGCCGGCCGGCAAATTGATGGGCAACTTCTTGAAGAATTGATAAATGCCGTGGGAGATAGAAACAGCAAGGGGGGCATGCAGAATTCCCTACCATTGACGAATCAGCACTCAATGTTGGCCATTCGGATATGGAACCCAAATCCACGAAGGATGCAGATGCCAGAAGACGAACCAACGCCAGATCACTCATTAATGCAGCTGGCCAAGAAAGACCCAATATTCCCATACTCGTCTGCAGGCCAGGGGTTCTTACAGAATTCTAGTGCTTATACGCAATTCAGAATGCGAGGAAGGCATGCCCAACCCTTTTCCCTCACTGGTGGGATCTTCGCCTCGAAATAAACGCCTCGAAAAAATATTTGTCCAATTGTCTCAGAAGCATCGACCTCGGGGGCCCGGAACCGCTCCCGCTCTACACAATGGAGACTCTCAACCTCGTCGTTATCGGAGCCGGTGAGTAACACCCCCCTAAATTACCAACGAAGGTCACAATCTGAAGTCGAGTCTACAGGATGGTTCGGTCTAGCGGCGGCCAAGACTCACCACCAGCTCCATCCCCAACACTCGCTGGCGCTCTTCGAGCAAGCCTCGACCGCCGGCGGAGTATGGGCCGAGCACCGTCTCTACCCGGGGCTGAAGAGCAACAACATGCTCGGAACCTACGAGTATCCCGACTTCCCCATGGATCCGGAGACCTTCGGGATCTTGCCCGGAGACCACATTCCCGGCCAAGTCCTGCATGACTATCTGGTAAAGTATGCCGAGACCTTTGGCATATTTAACAAGATCCGCTTCCAGCATAAGCTTCTCTCTGCGGAGCATCAAGAGAGCGGCGGCTGGGTCCTGACGCTTGCGAACGGCGAGGACGGTGGCGAGGTTCAGGTCCTCGCAAAGAAGCTAGTTGTTGCAACTGGCCTCACTTCAGAAGCCTTCCTACCCGATTTCAAAGGCCAAGAGACGTTTGACGCCCCTATTTTCCACGGCAAAGACTTTCTTCAGCATGCAGACACTCTGGAATCAGCAAAGTCCGTGACGGTGTTTGGTGGCACCAAATCAGCGTGGGATCTCGTATACGCCTACGCGATCAAGGGCATCAAAGTGAATTGGGTGATTAGAGGTATCTCGAGATGACTACCGCGAAGTTATTACAACCAATGCTAACAGGATATAGAATCCGGACATGGTCCAGTATGGATGGTTCCCCCATATGTCACGCCCTTGAAGAAGTGGCTAGAAAAGCTCGTTCATACACGCGCCCTCACATGGTTCAGTCCCTGTTCTTGGGGCGACGCCGATGGATACGTCAAGACGAGGAACTTTTATCACGGCACGGCGATCGGCCGCGGCATCACCAACAACTTCTGGAGCGTCCTCGGCAACGACGTCATTACCCTGAACAAGTTTGATTCGGACCCGGAGCTGAAGAAGCTGAAGCCGTGGAGCGAGGCCATGTTCACGGCTTCCAGTTTCTCTATTCTGAACTACGAGACGGATTTCTTCGATCTCATCCGCAACGGGACAGTAAAGGTGCACATTGCCGACCTGGTGAAGCTGTTGCCAGGCATCGTCCACCTTTCCGACGGCTCTTCCCTGGCATCAGACGTTCTGTGTTGCGCAACCGGGTGGAAGCAGTTCCAGCCTATAAAATTCCTGCCCGAAGGCATCGACAAGGAGCTCGGTCTCCCGCACAAGCCTTCCGCAGAAAGTTTCCCGCCCGCCGAGATGATTGAGACTATCGACAAGGAAATCTTTGAGAAATGGCCGCGTCTCAAGGATCAGCCTATACAGAACAAGAAGCTGAAGGCACTCGTCGAGGACGAAGGCATCTCGACAAAAGAGGCCGTCAACCCGTATACACCCCTCACGCCGTACGTGCTCCATCGCTTCATGGTACCGCCGTCGGCCAAGCTGCTGGCGCACCGCGACATTGCGTTCGCGGGCGTCTTGATGAATTTCACCGTGGCGATGATCTCCCACGTGCAATCACTATGGATCGACGCCTACTTCCATGACCAGATGCCCTCGGTAACCGAGGCCATAGCGAGTGCTGAGACGATGGAAAAGCTGCGGTACGAGACTGCGCTTCACAGTCGGTTCTGCAAATGGAGGTACCCTGCCGGGCACGGAGACAAGTTTCCAGACTTTGTTTTTGATGCTGTGCCGTATATCGACCAGCTGGTGGGCGATCTGGGGTTAAAGGTTTACAGGAAGAATGGCATGATTGCTGAGGCATCTGAACCATACGGCCCAGAGGACTACAAGAATCTTGTTAGCGAATGGACAGAGAAGCAGGTTGATGGCTAATAAAATACCAGCCACTCTCCCAATCCTCAAAACACAACAATAATGTTTGATATCTACTTTGACTTCACTCTCGGATCTAAGCGCCGTTGAGGCTAGCCAATCCTGGCAAAATTAGGCAGCAGCCTCACCGCCCTCGAAATGTCCATATCCTACGGCCCAATGCCTTATCAAATTAATATTTCAGCATCGACTCGGGGTCATCCTCTGGCGATCCTTTACTGTTGATTCATATCATTACTGAACCCCCTTCCCTGGCATTGTGATAATGGAGGAAACACAGAGACCCGCAGTCTCAACGAGGAGGACAAGACAAACAGCGAAATTGGACGAAGCAGCGGCCGCCTCTTCAGAACTATCTCGAACTACAAACAATAATCTTAACTCTGCCATCACAGAACCTGAACACAGTACGACAGACTTGATGGTAGAAGGCCTGCATATTCTTCCAGAAGCCCTCCATGTCGGCCTCAAACTCAAAGACTTAGGGAAGAGAAGCATCCAGCTGCTCTTAAAGAAGCGTCAATTATTAAGAGATACACCACTCGATATCCCAGAAGATATGGAAAGAAAAGGACTAGCCTCATCAGTCATGGCAACTCTGGTCTTTGCCCAGGAAGAAGCAGGCACAGCGGTCTGCATCTCACCCAATGGCATTCTCCTCACTTGCTCCCACTGCATCGCCGAGACCATCGACGATTTTGACGATTCCAAAAGCCATTGGCTCCTCTTCGCCTCGGGCCAAGTAGTTGAAGCCAAAGCCCTAGCATGGGATGGCAAGAGAGACTTGGCCCTATTGAAAATCACCTCAGCCCAACAACCTCCGCCACCTTCAGGGCCGACATCATCATCACCGCACTCAAGGGGGTTCCCCTTCGTGACCCTCTCCCCCGCACCGCCCGCCTTGAAGGCCCGACTCATCTGCGTCGGCCACCCGGGCAGCGAAGACTTCGAGGCGGCTGTCCCGGGAACAAAGACGGACTACGACGTCCTCCACCTCAGCGCCGGCACGTTCAGGGGCTGTGCCGAGGGCCAGGACCCGCAGGATAACTCGGAGATCGGGGCGCTAACGCATTCGTGCTGGACGTACTGGGGCCACAGCGGCGCACCGCTGGTCGATAGGAAGACGGGGACGCTCGTTGGGCTTCATTCGTCGTGGGATGATGAGACGGGGATGCGGAGGGGAATTGCTTGGGAGGCTATATCCGGGTTTCTGGAGGAGAATAAGCGTTATTTGTGATCTTTGGGTATCAAGTCTTCTGGCCATGTAGGTGCTTCTCTTCTCATGGGGTTGGTATATACTTTTACACAGATAGATCGTACATCAGCTGGAAGCTCTGTTCATCGTAGATACGCAATACAGCAAGAGGTTAAGGGGAGGAAGGTCGCTCTTGCCTCTTTTGAAGCGTACCTGCCTCCTTTTTGCGACCCTTACTTCCATCGTTGATTCCTTCCTCATCCGAAGCGTTCTTTCTCCCATCACAGACAAATCCTGCCCTCACAGTTGAGTACCCAAAAAACCTCGAACCTTTATACCCTTCCACCTAGATCTTGTTCTTTTCTTTTCATGATCACAGATACCCACCCACACGCTCACATCCGTCCATCGATTGCATGTGAGGCTTCTAGCTTCAACAAACCCATATCCGCTCGAACACTCTGCTTAAACACCAACAATCGAATCCCTCTCCTCTTGTGTTTGCTCAAAGAATCAAAGTTCTTCTCATCAAAAGCTGTGAGTTATGGTGCTAGTCCTCCTAGTTAATCACTCCAATCTTTTAACATATATCTCTAGACAAAACCCTTGGTTTCAACGCATTCATTGTACGTTACCCACATCTGCGCTTTTCATTCGGACGTTCAATACCACCGGCCAGCACCGTCTCTGCGCTCACGATACCCACGATACTCACGATTTCACAGTTCAACCTCAGGTTCCTCCCGCCTTCCACTGCTCGAATTACCGGTTGCCTGTCTGCCTCCCACCCTCTGCTCCAACGATGCCTAACCTCTGGCAGGGCGAAGGCCCTTACCTTCCCTCCCTCAACACTCCCACAACGACTACAATCTCAACTCCAACAAGCCTCTTCTCATCGCCAACAACATCCATCGCAACCGCAGCAATGCCTACCACCACCGAGGAAGTCGAAGCTCTGCGCGCTTGGGTCCTCTCCACATCGGGCAACTGGCTGTTGAACATCGCCAAGGCCCTCGCCCTCTCCATTCCCCTGGGCATCCTCATCTCGGCCATGTGCTGCTGCTGGATCCCTTGCCTTTGGTACACCGACCACCTCACCGACGACTTCCTCGACATCAGTGTCTGGACCGGTCGCCTCCTCCGCGGCGAGTACGGTCCCCCCGATGGCTGGATCCCCTTCATCCGTCGCCGCGTCAGAATGTTCTTCATGGGTCGCGAGGAGCGCGCCGAGGCCCAGCGCCGCGAGGCGCAGGAGGCCATTGATCGCGTCGTCGGAGAGCTTCGCGGCCGCGACGGCCATGTCGTTCGTGTCGGATACCAGCAGGAGCCTGCCATGACGACTGGCCTCCCCCCTCAGAACCGCAACATGCGTCGCCAGATGGCGCGTCAGCAGGCTCGCGCGAACCGTACGGCCAACAATAACAACTAAGCAACGCTCAAATCCCTCCTGGTCGAACTTGACGAGTGACCGTTTCGAATCCTGTTCCAAACGTCCAGCACTTGCGGGGGAAAAAATTAATTTTGGTAAGATAGCCTTTCCTTCCTCTTCCGTCCTTCTCGTCAATCTCACGATGAGACCAAAAGAGCTTGACTAACATTGAGCATAGGCAGTCACCGCTCCTTCTGAAATGAACACGAACAAGGGGCATACAAATGTGTATTCCGCGACACGGAAACTGGAGGGTATCTGACTAGGAGGACAGAGCGATACTGAGTGCGCTTGGTTGAGTGCGTATGCGCATAGGTTGGAAACGATACGATTGGCGACGAGCCAGGCTGCTGCCATATCCTATCCGATAGAGTGTGGAAGGAGAGAGGTCCCTGATATGACTGGGGATCGTTGGAGATCTGGGAACGTGCCCATTTCTAAGACTTGCGAGCGAGATGAGTGGACCATCGACATTCCGAGCGATAGTTACAAACTCCAAGAGACGTGTTCTTGCATTGATCATATTGTACCCTGCTTGTGACTTTGACTGGTTTTCAACTTCCTGGTGTCCCCTTTCTGTGCCACAAGGTCAGCCAGTCGATGCAAGACCAAGAGCACTCGTTCGTTTGACCTACCTTGAATCTGAGTGTTGTCAAAACAAGACCGAAACACCACACCTCTCACTGTCAAACTATAACGAAGGAGCACAAGCGTGAAGTCAGATATCTGCATCTCATTTTGACGCCTCCGCAGAGGACCGGCCGAGTCTATCTCAAGATAAAACCTTCCAGCTGTTCTTCGCCGAGATGGTGGGTAGTATGTACAGTCCAGAAGTTCTCCTACACACAGGCGGCGTCAAACGCACCAGCCGACTCAAAGAATGGATCCTGCAAAAGAAAAGCGATCCTCTTTTTCGAATTTTTCTCTCCCGTCTCTCCGGCGCCGGTCGTTGAGTAGGTTTTCTTTGAGTCACACGCCGGGCCTTCCTCCAAGAATGACGCATCTCCAAACTGAACAATCCCCGATTGAGGGGTGGTATCATTTCCTGACTGAAGCGAAGTGCAAAAATTAGGAAATCACAAAGGTGAGTGTAAAAGGCGTTTGGCCATGAAATTATTGCCTGTTAATAATAGAAGGCGTGAGGGTACGTGTGAAGTGGGTAGCGAGTGAGTTACTTGAGCAAGTGTGTCCGTTTCGGACGCTTGTTGCTCTCGCTTGGTATTGGGTGTATGGTTTTATGTTGGAGCTGTGAAGGCAGGCAATGAACCATGCGAGCGAGTTGGGGTCGATGGTAAGAAGGTATGTTGACAAAAAGGAAAGGCGGTTGGCGTGTTGGTAATGGGTACTTGAGAAGAGTCGAAAAGAGTTTGGGGTATAATAGAAAAGGGCGGGCAAAAGTATGTCCCAAGGTTTGATAAAGTAATGTAGTTAGGTATCGCCATTGTGTTTACTGCCCGAAGGAACTGTGGCTTTGATGCGCGTCTTGAAGAACTAAATCTTTATTAGCATGAATGTGGAAAATCTGGCGACCATGCCTTGACTTACTGTGCAGAACGTTCATCTGGCCGGCGCGATCTTCGCACGCAACCTGCAAGCCGGAGCCTTCGACCAAGTCAAGGCAAATGCTGTTAGGCAGCTCCTGGATTTCCATGTCGGGAATGTAGGGCACCCGGAAGTCCGAGAGATGGTATCTCTTGACACCGGCACCTGTAGGCTGCTTGTTCTTGGCGGCGTTGCCAGCGGCTACGGCGCTCAAGATCAAGAACCCTTGGGAGTCCAGACACATGCTGCGACGCTTCCATAACAAGTTGTCTGGAAATTGGACATTGACATCTCCCATGAAAGCCTCAATGGTAGGCTGCTGGAGGCGGGCCACCTCTGACGCGTCCTCCTCCTGAACTGTAGGAGAGATGGCAGTCGGGGTCATGGTCTTACCACGCCCAGCACTGCTCAGGGATGACGAGAGGCGACGCATGAACCGACCTGCGCGACCCTTCTTCTTGTCGCTAGCAGTGGATTTGCTATCGTCGCCAGACCCGCTGCCCTCAGTAAACATGGACGGAGACATGGCACCGCTCAAATCGTTCTCCTTGCTAATGGAAGATCGACGACTGCTGATCGAGAGACGGCGGCTGTGACCACCAGAGTTCGCGTGAGTAGAAGGGGGTCTTGAAGGAGACTTTGAGCCAGGAGACATGGGGAGAGGAGCGGTCAACGCCTCTGTGGAGGGAGAAGTGAGTGACTTGCGGCGGTCCTTGATGAAGTCCTTCATGATGCTAAGAGACGAGCGCCTCGGAGCTTCTTCGACATCCTCCTTTGGGTCAATCGACTGAGAGCGGCGCTTCTCCTTTGACAGTCTTCGCTCTTGGATAGTCTCTTTGGAGGGTTCCACTGTGGCCAGATTGGCTGGCGGAAGCGGGAGCTCGGCCTTCTGATGATCGACAACTAAGGGCGACACCTTAAGATCGAGTCGTTCGAATTCGGAAGGGTTTTTGGGCGGCTCCGGCGCCTTACCAGCCTGGCTGGGGTCGCGAATGATTCGCGCCGTAACGGAGATGGATTCTGGGCGGCCCCTGGGCGGATTGCTGCCAGGCATCTCAAACATTGAGAGCCTGTTTGCCATGGACCCCGATCTACCCCGGCCTGCAGCCTCCGGAGATGACTCTACAGACTCGGCCATAGTGGGAGGGACAGGACTGGCGCCACGTGTCGAAGGCCTCGTCCTGTCGACAACCGAAGGGGAACGAGATGGCGGATCCCGCACGCTTCCCCTCTTAACGGCGAAGAACGCTGAGGATGGCCTCGGAGCCTTCAGACTGCTTGTGTCCGCTTCGACAACACCGGGTGCATGAGCAGACAATTTTTCCAGAGCCTTGATACGTTGGGAGATGCTAGACCCAATCTTGTTAGGCTGGTTTGGCTTCAAGTGATTGTTACCCTGTTGCTGCGTGATCTTGTGTAGAAAGGCTGCACCAGATGAGATTGATCTCTGGCTTTGGGCTTGAGCCACATCTGCAGCCGTGAGCCCCCGCACTGGGTTCGAGATGGTGCGAACAACCCCGCGCGACGTTGGCCTGCTAGCGTTCTGAATCGTCGGGCTGGGAAACACTGGGGTAATGGGCGATTTGGATACAGTTATATGCTGTGCTTGCTCAACTGTAGCAGAGTGCAGCTCATCCAGCAAGTCCTCATCGTCAGAGATGTTGTCGTCTGCACGCTTCTCGGTAACTTCCAGATCGGTCCGGATCGGTTCAATGAGCGATCTTCGCTTTGACGCCTCCGAGGCTACCGGAGTATCCTCGGCAACACTGTCGTTCTCCTCTACGGCAGTAGGCAGTGGCTCTGTGGGTGCCTGTTCTTCAGGCGACACGATGGTGGGAACTTCGACAGCTGCAGCCGACTTGAGATCCTGGGTCGAGAACTTGGACCGAGGAACTCTGAGTCCAGGCGAGCGAGGAGATAGCGGCGATTTGGGTGACACTTCCGCCGGCAAAGAAACGGTGTCGCTGACATCCAGCGGAGTCGGCTTCGTCGATTCGACGGGAGCCTTTGCCTGAGTTGGGCTCGTGGAAAACTTGGAGATTGGTAAGCTAAAGGTGGGCGATTTGGGCTGTTGAGCCTCGACTGCTACCTTCTCAGTCTCAATTTGTTGTTCTATGGGCTGGGCGAGTCCAGTGGTTTCCGCTTGCTCGACATCAAGTCCTTGCGGTATGGCAGCGGGGGTTTCCTCCTTGTCCTCGGTCGAGTTCTCTTCGGCAGGTAGAGTTTCCTTGGAGGCGGGAACATCGACTGGGGTGGTTTCGGGGGAGTTGGTGACTACATCTTGGATCGTGGGGGTGGGTTCAACCACCGGCTCGGTATCGTCCTGTTTCTCACTGGTATCGGCCTTGGGCTCGTTCGATTCAGGGGCTGCAGCCTCTTCAAGAATAGGAGCTTGCTCAACCTCCGCCCCCCGCTCGACTTGCTCGTGTGCCTCCACCATATCCATATCAGCATCAAGATTATCTTCCTCGAGCTCCTTTACTGTCTCTTCGGTGGATTCGGATAGTGATGACGCCTTTGTCGACTGGTCGGGTTCGGAAGATGCTATGATGGGCGATGCAGGATGAGAGTCACTCTGAGTGAACTCAGAGGCCACGTCGGTGTGGACAGACACTGACGATGCGTCAACGACAATGCCTGAATCTGCCTTGGAGACCGAAAGTCGTCTCTTACGTTCGTCGTCGTCATCTGCTTCGGCAGCCAGGGTCTCCTCGGTTATCTCCTCAATGTGTTCGACAGGCTGAGCCTTTTCGGAGGCGACCTCCTCAGCAGGGGCATCGATAACAGGGGCGGAGGCGGATTGTTGGTTCATTTTCTTCTTCTTCTCCCTCAGTTGCATGGCCTTCATCAGACGCGCCTTTTCAGGCGTCATGACCTGTTTGGCGGAAAGGGTGGTGAAGGACGGCATCGCGGATTTAATTGAAGCGCCCGAGCTCGTTGTGGGTCGCCCTGAGCTCGTGTGTGGCCTAACGGGTTCATCAACCTGGGAAATGGGATCCCCGTCGGGTAGGGGTATTGAAGTGGCGGCCAAGGAGATTTCGGTTGTTTCGTCGGGGTGGGCTGGTTCGGCAGGATCCAGAGTATTTTCCTTGGACTTTCCCTTTTTGGAACCCTTGGAAAATAGCTTGAAGCCAGAGGGCATCTGCGAAATTGGTCGGAAAGCAGCCCCCACAGCAGCAGTTCCGGTGCGAGCACGGCCGGCAACGTCGAGAGATGGTCGTGGGGCAAGTTTGACTCTGGGTTTGCCGTAGGTATAAGATGACGAAGAATAAAGCTCGGGTCGCAGGGACTGCGATGACATGCGACGTCCCTCGTCTACTGATTTTGAAGGCGAAGGCGGTCTGGCGCCAACAAATTCGGGCGGCTCCAATGATGCAGAAAACTTGCTCTCTTCTGGCGAATTGGCAAGGTCGGCATTCAACGTCACGGGCGGACCGTCGATTGGCGATTTCGGGGTTTCTGTCAAATCTTCTGTCGCGTCTTCAACCAGATTATCACCCGTGGACTTCCGCTTGCTTGCTCTCTGTTCTTCTTCTTCCTCTTCCGCAATTTCCATCAACCGTCTCCGTCTCAAAGAGCTTGTCGAGGACGAGGTTGATCCAGATGCAGCGTGCAAGGAGCACGCGGCAGACAGCTTGGTGTCCTTGAGCTCCTTCGCGGAAGCTATCGAGAAATCGGTATTGTACGGCGCAAACCGCTCGCATACGGCATTGAAGTGGACAGTGACTCGCGCTACGATTGACAGACAGAAGGCCAAGTCAGCTTCATCTCCCTCTGGAATGGGGGAAAGACCACAATAGTGCGCCACAGCCTAGAGACAAACCCACCTTGGACAAGTCGAGAACAATCTTCGGGAAGATATTTGATGATTACGTTCCGGCGTCGGTACCTCAGAAAGCCAAATAAGGGCGAGTGGTCTTCGTTGTCATTTTCGAATTGGGCGATGTTGTTCCGGATCTCTACAATGCCACCATTCCCGCGACCCAATAGTTCAACGTCATCGCGACTCGCATACTTGAGGAGAAACCTATATTACGCAATAGTTCATGACGTCGGTCAGCCTACGTGAATCTAGCGGCGCCTCAACGGCGAGCAAAGAGACAAGGGGAATTTGCATAGTGAGATACAAGGGAAGCGGTGTGCGGCCGGCGAGCTACTTCGAGCTGGCAAGCGGTGACGGGCACGGAGAAGAAGATATTTCGGTCTTTCGCAGTGGGGATAAAAGGGAGGGACTCATACCATCCTCCTGGTTCAGCAACGGCAGCCTCATGGGCCTCCTTGACCTTGGGGTCGTCCAGGCCATTGAGCGACATCCTCCCTGTCGACTTGGCGAGCTACGAGGGTTTGCGGCCTTCGTCGTCGTTGTCCACGTCAGTGCAGGTGGTCGGCGGGCGAGGAGAGCGTGCGCGCGGCGACTGCGACTACGACTGCTACTGCGACTGGGAAGGGGAGCCGGGAGCTGTACGGAGCTGTACGGAGGTAGCTGCTGGCGAGGCTGGTATCCGGGGGGCCGCAGAGCGAAATCGGGTGGATTCAGACGGAGAACCAAAAAGTGGTTCGGAAGGGGGGGTTTTTCGTCGCTTAGTATGCGCAGGCCGGACCGATGGCGATTGCGATTTTCAGGGGTAAGGCTGAAGAGTGCAGCGGCGACAGCAGCAGCGGCAAAGGCGGCGACATGTAGAACAGGCCAAGGGGCATGGGCGAGCTGCACATGGGCACCAAGAAGTGTCGTGAAGAAAGAGGGGCAGCACAAAAGAGACACAGGCAGAAGAAAGTGTGTCTGGCCCTTTGTTGTGTAGGTAGACGAGGGTTGAGAAGGGAGATTTGAGTCGTCTATGGGAAATGCGACAGGAAAGAGAAAGTGGGAAAAGGTCGTGTTTGAGCCACGGACCTCGACGAGGGGAGCTTCCTGGTGGAGGCCGAGAAAGACGGAGGGGTGTCTTGGGCGTAGGGAGGTACTGGATAGGTACGGATAATGATAGTCTGATCTGCCCAGGTCCGGTCTGGTCCAGGTCGCGTCTGCCGGCTCGGGGGGTGGGTGAGGTCGTATTGTTGCACCAGTTTGCTGCAGATGAGGTGGTGGTCGACGCGTGGGATGAGAACGCAGTGCGGCAGACAGGGTCGACCGCGCACCCAGTACCAAAGTAGGCGATGGAAGTGAAGACTGAGAGACTGACAGGTACGAAAGGTCAAGGTACCTCTCGAAATGAGTGTGCAGCTACTGCTAAGGCAGCCAGATAAAATGAATGGAGAGAAGGTGTAATTACGGCTGGACCGTGGCAAGGGCAGTACGGACAGAGTACCGTGAAGAAAGGCGTAAATGAAGAATTGGATGGGACTAGTACATCTAAAGAGCTAAGGGTCCTGAAGGGTCGAGGACAACAAGGGGTCCAAAAGAAAGTAAGGTAAGGTAAGGTAAGGTAGGGTGGGCACAGGAAGAGAGATAAGGATAAAGAAGAGAGAAGAAAAAAAAAAGTAGTTTAGGTGTTGAGATGTATCCAAGTCGCAAAGGTCGCACACTGAAGATACGCAGCAGTATTGCGCTTGAAAGACACGCATAAGTTGACAGCAGAAAAAGTATTACGGAGCGGAAAGAAAGGGGGGGCGGATAGGAGAGAAAGAGGCGACAGTTGGGAACTTCTTTGACTTGTCATGGAAGTCTCGTCGAAATGGAAGGGAACCCCAACTTTGTGTCTCTGACTGGCAGGGGAGGGGGCGATTGGGGTCTAGTGTACCGTCTATGTGCATAAGGGAAGCGTGGGAAGGTATCCGCAACGGGTCCATGCCTGCCTGAAAGACCGGGTTTGACAACGGAAGGCACCAAATCATAAATGGATTATTTTGGAAGGGACCAAACAGAAACTGTCTCCTTCCTCGCCAACTCCAATTGGCTTAGTTAAGCACCAAAGGGGTGACTTTTGACTTCTCCCCTCTGCTCATCGTCGCTGGACTTCATCTCGAACCCACCACTGCCAACCAACCACCATCTTTAAACCACCCATCCTTACCCGCACCGGTCCTGCAGATACAGCTCAAAGCTAAAGCACCTCGCGCCGGCTGCTCTCGGGCCCCCCCTGGATCTTCTCCCTTTTGGGGTCTCGTCTGCGGGCTTAGGGCGAGAATGGAATCGTCTTTTGGTCTACGCAGCAGACGTCCTTAATAAGGGGGAAAAGAACGGGAATTCTTTAGAACAAGACCAAGGGAGGCGGACGGACACCGACCAAGTTCCAACAACCATGATGACAATCCCCTCATCCAATCCTCTGCTTCCATTCGTCTGCAACGCACCCTGGAATCGCCGGGACTGCCACTTGAGAAGTACATACAACACAGACCACCATCCATCCCGGTGGAGAGGCACGGAGGCAGAGCACGGGGCATCTGCGTCCTGCAGCAAATCGGTCCCTTCCAAGCCTTCTAATTCGGACTGATCGCTGGTCCAAAGAAACTCTGTTGATGTTGGCCTCTCCAACAGATACCCTTCTCTGCATCTCATTAGCCACGGACTGATGCCTACTAGGAACTAGACCGGTGAAACTGAAAGGAAGGAGCTTCCAAGCTCCGGTCACGATTTACCTAAGAATTCAACGAGAACCGTTTTGTCTTTCTTCTTCGCCGTTGAACGACCAAACAAAACACTCCATTCCAGTGCCCCCTAATCCTCCACCATCATGTTACGCCACGCTTCGCCGCTACTGGAAAGCTTGCTAAGGGGGAACAAAGCGACGCCATCTTGTCATTCGCCGTCAGCCCACGTAAGTTCCTCTCGACACTATTTTGGACGCGACAACCGTGCCGAGAAAGGTCAGAAAGAGTCAGGTCAAGACATCGGTCAAGGCACGAAGTGACAAGACTTGAAAAAGAGAGAGAAAGAAAGAAAGAGACCAACTAGACGGGCGGGCAGAACGTGGCAGGTCCGGGGGAGCAAGGGCAATGAAACGTCCAATGCTGCCGCCGGAGTCCCGGAACCTGAGTAAGCTGGACTTGTACGCCACGCTCGCTGGACATTGGCTACGGGATCGACTCTTGGCGAATAGGAGAACTCAATATACACGGCATATTGAAACTGCTTCAACATGTCCGCGTCGCAAGTTGGACGACATGCGACGAATAAGTTCCGGGGGATACTCTTGTTTTGAATTATCCATTCACTCAAGTCAAACAAGTGGCTACCGTCATATTTTGGGACTCGACGTACGCAACGTTCACATTCATCAAACCTCAACGGCCAAAGGAACAACAATGACTGACGACCACTTCCACCCGCCACGACTCAGGTTCAAGAATAGCACCATGGGGGGGATGAGCAGAGTTCGTCCCGTCGGAATGATCTCCGTATCCCACCACCACATGATCGACCCTGGCTTTCTGACTTTAGCAAAACTCTGAGCCAAATTCCCACGGCTTGACGTGGACACTGAATGATGCCACCCTGGCTGATTCCCGACTCCATGGGCTGCCAAGTGGAGGCGGCAGAAAGGCTCTCCGTGTCTTGCTTCAACGACATCTGGTTCAACCACTCTAACGCGCGCGGATTACTGACCATCGACAATGGGCATCGCCAGTGCCAGCAAGATCATTCTTCCGAAAGCAACCACGTCTGACGTTTCTCGGCACACGCATGGCGCAATGGGGTAAGCAGTCAACGAATCTCAGTGCACGCCGTAACTCCACCGGCGGTTCGGCCATGCGCTATGACCGCCGTCGAATCCACAACGGCCTGCTTGCCAAAGGAGCCCAGGTGCGGAAATGAGAGTCAAATCAAAAAAGTTCGCCGAATCACCACCATAGAGAGCCGTTCCCCTCGAGCTTGAGAATAATCTCTCTCCCCAATTTCTCGCGGCCGTTTCCTCCTACTACCCAGAGACCGATCCCCGTACCAGCCGTTCGAACGCGTGGGTCTCTCACCAAACGTCTCTTCTCGGACTCGTTTCCCACCTCTACTAAGTTCGCTACGCATCTTTCCAGAAGTTCCGTTGTTCAGCGAAAAAGAGGGGCAACAGTAGGGGTCCCTCTCTGCAAGTGCGTGTTATCCGTCCTCAGTAGCATTTGTCATTGTTTCGGACGATGCAGCTCATATTAACCTCCGATCTCTCTCGTCCCATCACATCGCAAATCTGGCCAATGTACTCCGTATTGCGGACCTCAACACTCAGAGTCCCAGCTCCAGCAGCACCGGGAAACTTTGCTACTGTTCTTGTGTAAGGGCCAGACCTCTCAAACCTCAGATAAAGTGCCTGCAGCTCCTAGCGTGCAGTAGAAGGTAAGGTACGAAGTACATAATGCAAGCGTGCAACATGCAGCGTGCATATTCCCCCGCGCTCTCATGCAAGTCCGGTGATGCATAAACCCCCGATCTCATCACTTGAAAGCAGCGCGGTCAAAGCGGAGCGAGTCCTCGAGGTTCCCGGCATGCCGTCTTCGTTCATTACAAGTTGGATGAACCTCGTCACAAGAACGAGAATTCATCCATGTGTCCATAGACGAACCCCTCAGTCTCTCGTAAATCGAGGCGTTCATCTAAAATCTTCAACGGGTCAACATGGGTACGGATAGCTGCGGAGACATCATCCCAGCACCCAGAAGCTACAGATGCCTTAGGTAACAGATATCTGCAGGCTCCACCGCTGCTGTAGAATTCACAATCTTAGATCTTCTTTGAAAGAACGTTATCCGCATGACGGGGCGAAGAAACATTGAGGGAATCTCTCTCAGGGGAACGGAATTCAATATGGTCCAATAACCGAACGGCCCAGCGGCGCCCCGGCGCTAGCTGGCTCCGGTTTACAGCTCCGGGCATGAACGGTGCCTCGGCAGCGTTGAACGGTCCATACACTACGTCAGCAAGCGGAGGGAGAAGGGAGATTGCATATCCCGTACGGAGCACACCTCATATTCTCCCCCGTGGCATTTGACTTTGGACCGCCCAATGGTTTGCCGCCGCCGCCGCCGCCGCCGATCAGCCGGTCGCTGCATATTAGGAATTGGGGCCCGAGCTGAAGCTGATATACACCATTCGGACTGGATCTCCGTCCTCCATATTGCAAGTGCTCGTATCTGATGAGCACGCCTTCATCGAGACTCAACTACGGGTCTATGAGAAACGTAGTCACGGTTTCAACAAGTGTATCGATAATTAGGTTGTCTTTGCGTCTACGTATATGCCTATCGTCATGTGCTCTCAACAGCACACTTTTGTGAAAGAAAACAAAACAAGTCCATGAGGGGAAAAGGGGGAGGGATATAAACTCAGGTATACATCGAGGGGGAAGGCCCAGTGTTTGAACCACCGGATAATTAAACGCCGTTTTTTCCATGCTATCGTAAGGTATAGTTTGTGCCACATTAAACAAGGAATTGAGATGGGTATTATTCTTTTCTTGCTCTTGTCCTTTTCTTTCTTTCTTTCCTTTCAGTGAAGGCCGGCACCGACGGCGCCCGGCGGCGGGGCATCTAGGTCGACGCCCTCGACGACGGTCCTCTGCTGCGCGCTGTTGCGGACGAGGTTGCCAAAGTACTTTAACGCGACCTCGCTCTCCTGGCGGACCTTGAGCGTCTCTTCGCGGCGCTTGCCGAGGTCCTTGACGGACTGCTCGAGGCCGACGCGGAGGTTGTCGGCAGGGAAGCGTAGAACCTTGCGGACTGAGCCCGAGATGCGCGTCGAGTTGGTGTGCACGTAGTCGACTGCCTCCAGCTGAGCCGCAATCTTGGTAGAAAGCCGATGGGGCAGAGAGTTGGGGATCTGGTTGAGGATGTAGGCGGCGGCTGCAAATGCTGAAGGCGGGTTTGACGTTAGCTTCATATGCTACTAGCAAAGAACGAGATTCGAAAGACTTACAAGCTGCGACGATGGCGGGGACAATGAGGCGACGCAAGTTGTCGTTGCCCATAATCTTCGCTGCGCTCAACGCATGGTCCAACCAGCCGCTGGAACCCATCATGCGAGGAACGAGAGCTCCCGCGACGGTGAGAGCCATTCCCGTGCCTGCCACCTTCTCCTGCTTCTGGACGATGGTGTGCCAGTCGACGAAATCCCAAAGTTCAGTGGGGACGTCGACATTGCGCGCCATTGAGTCGCGCTTTCTCTTGAACATGACGTCGGGCCGGAACACCAAGCTTTGGTAGTCGTCACCAAGATGCATTATGCCGAGCTGCTTGATGGCGTTCACGCCACCAACCGTCTTGGTCTTCGCGTGTTCCTCGCAGGCAACAACTGACTCATGTATGTAGGACATCATGGCTTCCTTCAGCTCCTCTGCGTACTCAAAGGCATTGAAGATACCCCGGTAAGGAACGCCGTGGTTGTTGTCCCCAGCATGGTCGATAGCCGTGCTGAGAGTGGTGCGCGTGTAGTCGTAGACCTCCTTGCATGTCCCTTCGGTGATCTTGTCAATCTCATCGCCGACCTGCGCCGTGGCCTTTCTGCTTGATTCGAGCTGGGGCTCAATCTCCTTGAGCTCCTTGACGACACGGTCTAGTTCGGAGTTTGCAACCTCCGAGTTGACGTTGGCAAGAACGTGGACGTCGTTCAGAATGTTGAGCAGATACGTCTTTGCCGGCGCCAGCTTGGATCTGGCGC